TGTCCGCGCCCGCCGCCGTGCCGCCGCCGCACGACGCGCGCCTCGGTAACACATTGCCCCTCTCTCTCTCTCACACACATGCACTTACACAAGCATCGCAACACGCGACACACGACATCCGCCGTCTCTGTCTTTCACACACATCTTCTCACATATGCACAATCAAATTGAAACTCTGAATTCATCCTCTCTGATTCATGCAAGGCATTGTTCAGTCAGAAAAGAACTCTAGCATCTAAAATAAAAAAAAAACATATTAATTATAATTTTGAACTATTAGACCAAACACTAAGATATATTTAAGAAAACTAATTTGATAGATTTAATTTTTATTATTTTCTTTGCTTTTACATTATGTACTTCTTTTGTTAATTAAACGGCTCTATTGTGTTTAACAAAGTAATTTGTACGCAGAGCGCGAGAAAGTGTACTCGCGCCAGTACTCGGCGCCGCTACTAAAGCGTAAAACCTCGCGGTTCGGCCTCGGCCAGCTGCTGGCGCCGCAGCCGCTCGCCGCACGCAGCAATGCTCACGGTTTGTCTGTCTGTCTGTCTGTCTGTCTGTCTTTAGTGTCCGCAACTGGCGTTACCTTAAGTAGTTTACCAACCGGGAGATAGCCCTAAAGTCCTTTAACCTCAGTAATTTTGAGATCTTATTTTCCTTTTGTGTCTTTCCAGACCTTACCATCTCTAATATGTCTAGATTGCACCAAAGCTTCTCGCACCTAAAAAATTGGCTGCACTGCACGCTTCCAAAATATACCTTTTGCTAATACTTGCTTAGACCAGTATGCCAATGCGCTACTTTATTGTAATTGAAATCTTTAGCGGTTATTCAAAAAGTAATTGCGAGGAAAGCCGTTTGTATCATTAGTTTTTTGTGTATTGATTTATTATTTTTATTTTAATTATTGTTCACTTTTTGTTCATTTATGTAATTTAACAATAGAAAATACAACGGTCAAATGTAGTGGCCCAAAGAAGGACCCTTGCGGAACTCCAACCACTTAAGGATTTTTTTAATAAAAAAAAATTGCTATACGTCTAAAAAATAAGTAAGGAATTGTTAAATTCAAACTACTGTTATTTTACTATCCTAAGACCATGTCTTTAATTTTTCAATCTTTGCAAACGTCTGTGTAACATTGTCAAATGCCTTTTCCATGAACCTAGTATTTAACACTACTAAAATTTATTGCTTAGTTTGAGAGTTGAGATTTTTTGTGCTTTTCAATTATTCGAAAATATTTAAATTGACCAAATTAAAGTGTAAAAAGAGATTTAGTATAAAATTACTACAAATAAATATAAGAGAACATAATAATTATCTGAAAGCGTAAATGCAGTGTATGTTTTTAATTTTTTTCCTATCATAAGGTTTATATTTTCAACTAATATCAAACGATATTTGCAGAGGGTTTCCACACGTTGTCGGGGCGCTCTCCGGACGAGGCGCTGCCGATCTTTCTGCCCAAAGTGGACATCGATGAGACCGACAAAGAGACAACCAACTTACTTGTCTTTCTTCTAATGCAGTTCTTGTCTAGGTAACTTTTTAATTTAATTAATCTTATATCTTATAGCTGTATATTTGCTGCTTATGCTTTTGTCTCCTATAAAAGACAAATTTATAATTTTTTTTTCTCTAGATCAGATCAGGCACACCCCAG